GTGTGTGTGTGAGTGCACGCGTGAGTGTGTGTGTGTGTGTGAGTGCACGCGTGAGTGTGTGTGAGTGAGTGAGTGCACGCGTGAGTGTGTGTGTGAGTGGGTGCACGCGTGAGTGTGTGTGTGAGTGAGTGCACGCGTGAGTGAGTGCACGCGTGTGTGTGTGTGCGCGCGTGAGTGCGTGTGCATCTAGTTTTGGAGGGGGTGCATTCCCCTGCATCCCCTCCCTTCTCCTTCCTGAGTTTGGTCGTGGGTTTGGAAGGTGCTGTCTGAGGATCTTTGGTGAGTTGCTGCAGTGCGTCTTGTAGATGGTACACACTGCTGTTACTGAGCGTCGGTGGGGGGAGGGAGTGGGATGTTTGTGGATGTGGTGCTAATCAAGGTGGGGGCTGCTTTGTCCTGGATGGTGTTGAGCTTCTTGAGTGTTGTTGGAGCTGCCCCCATCCAGGGGCAAGTGGGGAGTATTCTGTCTCTGCTTATTCAGGCTGGGTTTGTGCAATGCTGACGATAACTTCCCCTTCGTCCTGTCTCGTGTGTTGCAGTCTCACGGGAAGAGCTGATCAACGAGACAGAGGAGGATTTGAACGTCGTGCGGCTCTGCTTCCAAGTCTTCCTACCCAACAAGCTCGGAGTGTGTAACGTACCTCTCCCGCCCGTGGTATCTAACCCCATCTATGACAACCGTAAGTAGGAGAATCATCACACCACCCGAGAGCAGCTCCCAAACCCCCACCCCTCCTCCGTCTGGGAGCATCTTTACTTCATATCTAACCCTGTGCTGTCCCTGTCCTAGGGAGTGTTTGATGGGGGACAGTGTAGAGGGAGCTTCACTCTGTATCTAACCCCATGCTGTCCCCGTCCTGGGGAGTGTTTGATGGGGGACAGTGTAGAGGGAGCTTTACTCTGTATCTAACCCCGTGCTGTCCCCGTCCTGGGGAGTGTTTGATGGGGGACAGTGTAGAGGAAGCTTTACTCTGTATCTGACCCCGTCCTGGGGAGCGTTTGACTGTTGGGGTTGGGGGGTGTGGGAGGCCTCTCCTGCGTGTGTGTATCTGATTATTTCTGTGCCCTGTGCACCCGGAATTACGAAAGACACCCTGTTCGTTCCAGGAGCCCCGAACACAGCCGAGCTCAAGATCTGTCGGGTGAATAAGAATTCCGGGAGCTGCCGGGGCGGAGAGGAAATATTCCTGCTCTGCGACAAGGTCCAGAAAGGTAATGGAAAGAGCGGGGAGGGTCGGGAGACGGGAGAGGGCGTGGAGGGGTTGGGGAACGGAGAGCTGGTGGTGGGGGGGAAGGGAGAGGGGATCTCGTGGCGTTGAGTAACCCGTGTCTGCCATTTTCCCCTCCTGCTCTTGTGTCTCCCCGTTCAGAGGACATCGAAGTGCGGTTCTTTACCAACGAGTGGGAGGGCAGAGGCTCTTTCTCTCAGGCTGACGTTCACCGCCAAGTGGCCATCGTTTTCAAAACGCCCCCCTACAAGGACGTGACCCTGAGTGAGCCCGTCACTGTACGCATGCAGCTCCGACGTCCCTCCGACAAGGAGGTCAGCGACGCCATGGAGTTCCAGTACCTCCCGGATGACAAAGGTGAGGGCTGTGCGCACAGCAGGATCCCACAGGTGCCATTTTCGTTTTCCTTGCTCTCTCTCTCACTTCTGTCACTGGCGGGGGTGTGGGGTATCCTCGGTAGGGTTTGTTGGGGTGGGGAAGCGCGACGGCTTGGCGTTAATCCAGCAGGAGACCCAAAGGTTTGGTGGGGGGTAAACATTTCCAGGTTCGAATCCCGCCAAGGGTAGAGTTTGAATTTGGATTTTATCTCTAAAGCTGAAGGGTGGATTTTGGGAGTTTAACGACGACAGTGAATCTGCCGTCGGTTGTCAGAGAGAGATCCACCTGGGTCGCCGGCATCCCTTTTAGGGAAGGAAATCCGACCTGGTTTGGGCCTACACGCGACTCCAGTACCTTAGCGGTAGCCTGGGCCTTGAGGAGAATTTTTGTTGCCTTTTCAAAACGTTTGGGATCTGGGGTGCACCACCTGAAAGGGCCGTGGAAGCGTGTGCGTTGGTCATTAGTTGGCAAAGACATGGGGTCAACCGGGTGGCTCCATCAACAGGCTAGGCCAGGCTCAACGTGTCGAACGGCCTCCTCCTGGCGTTCTACGGCCCTCAGGGAGCAAAGCAGGGGACTTCTCGAATCGTTTCCGCAAGCCAGGGAGAATATAAACAGATTGGGCAGGTCAGTGGTAGATGGAGTTTAACTCTCAATGCATTCCTTGTCACTTTGCATTTGTCAACGATGGCAGGCCACTGGGAAGCTCAGGAGATCTTGGAGGAGCTTGTCCCCAGATCCCGGACGCTGAATTAGTAAGGGGATCAAGAGTTATGGGGAGAAGGGAAGGTTTGGAGAAACATATCAAGGACATCGGTGAGGCCAGTTGTGGAACACTGCTTGCAGAGCTGGTCTCAACCTGCTGCAGGAATGATATTGTATCAGGATTTAGAAAAGATTTTACAAGGATGTTGGAGGGTTTGAGCAACAGGGCAAGGCCGAATGGACTGGGGCTATTTTCCCCTGGAGCGTCGGAGGCTGAGTGGTGACCTTACAGAGGTTTATAAAATCATGAGGGGCATGGATAGGATGCATAGTCAAGGTCTTTTCCCCAGGGTAGGGGAGTCCAAAACTAGAGGGGCATAGGTTTAAGGTGAGGGGGGAAAAGGGACAACTTTTTCACGCAGAGGGTGGTGCGTGTGTGGAACGAGCTGCCAGATGAAGTGGTGGAGGCTGGTACAATTACAACATTTTAAAGGCTTCTGGATGGGTACATGAGTTGGAAAGGTTTAGAGGGATATGCTGGCAAATGGGACTAATTATTTTAGGATATCTGGTCGGCATGGATGAGTTGGATCGAAGGGTCTGTTTCTGTGCTGTACAGCACTATAAGTGGTTGAACAGCAGAACAGATGGACTCAATGGCCTAATTCTGCTCCTCTATCTCATGGGACATGCTAATGACATAGTTAGGAAGGCAGAGGGGACGCTTTAGCAGTTGCGGCCTCGATTCGAAGAGCAGGGACGGTCCGTTGGAGCTGGACAGGACTTTGGTTAGACCCCAGCTGGAGTACCCTATATAATTCCGGGCCCCCGTGCTGTAGGAAGGGCTGGGAGGGGGTGCAGGACGTTGCCTGGGATGGAGCACATTTCAGCGACGAGGAGAGGCTGGATAAGCTCCATTTGTTCTCGGAGCAGAGAAGGTTGAGAGGGGAGCCCCTACAGAGGTGTTTAAGATCATGAGGGGACGGATAGGAAACAGCTATTGCTGTTAATGAAAGGGTTTAAGAGCAGAGGGGACATAATTTTACCGAGAAAGACAGGAAGTTTGGAGAGGATTCAAGGTGGCGGTGTGGAAATGCGCTGCCTGGGAGGACAGAGAAAGCTGGAAACCCCATGATAATGAGCACTCGAAGCAATTGTGTGATTGTGGGGCCTAGTGCGGGACTGCAGCGTTAAGCGGGAGTATATTTTTGGGGGCCTAGTGCAGACTCTGTGCTCTACGAAGCACGTCAGGGCTGGATTGAAGGAACCTTATGAGGCTCAGCGGGGACAACGCTGTGGGGTTGGCAGGGCTGGTTTCTCGCAACGTCGTGCGGGACGGTATGCGCGTCGAATGGATTTTGTGGCTTGCCGCCCAGGCTTCGGGGTCTCGTTCCGAATTGTAATTTCTCGCCTTTTTCTTCCCAACAACGAAAATCACAGATCCCTACGGCACCCAGGAGAAAAGGCGCAAGACACATCTCGAGTTTATGAACATGCTTCACAAGTGTAACATGCCCGGTGAGCATCGTCAGTCTCCCTTTTGCAGGTCCCTGCAGCCTCTTCTGTGGGTGTCTCGGAGAGGTCCCAGAGTGGGATTCTATACCAGACACCTCTCACCGTGAACGAGAGCAAGGAGCTGTATCAGTTTGTCCTTGTGTGTGTGTGCACCTTGTGGCCTGGAATCCCGGGCAGGAAGGGCACAGGCCCCCATCCTTTTCCATCCAGTAACTGAGCAGGAATCTGTCTCCCACTCCCGCCGAGATCAATGGGAGACTTCATTCGCCCCATGATGGATACACCTTCCGAGATTGTCGAACCCTGGTGTGGAGAGTGACCCTGAAACCTCCAGCTCCACTACCACTGGGCCACACGAGTGCTTTCTGTCTGCCTGTTTGCTCTTTTCCCCCTCTCTCTCTATCTCTCTTTTCCCTACATCTCTCACTCTTTATCCCCACATCTCTCACTCTTTATCCCCTCTCTTGCTCCTTTTCTCCCCCCTCCCCCCTCCCTCGCTCCCCCCTTCACTCTCCACCCCTATGGTCTCCTCCCCTCCCTCTGTTGCTGTCCCTCTTTGTACTCCCCGTTCTAACACCACCCTGCCCCGAGCAATTCTTCCCCCTTGCTCTCCCCTTCCCCTTGGTCTCCACTCTCCCCCTACCCCTATCCGCATGTCCCTTCTCCCTGCCTTACCCGCTCCCACATCTTCCTTCCCCGCTCCCACATCTTCCTTCGATCTATTTTAATGTGTAAGCGATATTGACAGGGATTTGACGACTGACAAGCCTTTCTGATTCTAACATGAGCTGTTTCTCCTCCACCCCCTAGGGGTACCTCCTGCCCTGAGACCCATTGCAATGGCCCATCGATCCGGGGGTGATAGGGTGGCAAAGACCAAGCTCTATGAGACAAGCCAGAGAGGTGAGGAAACTCAAGGAGCGGATCTGGGCCCCATCGGGGCTGGTGGGGTGCGGCGTGGTCGTGGGAGGGAGAGACGGTGAGGTGGGGGGGTTGGGCTAGAAAGGAGTGGCGGGTAGCGGGGCTGAGGG